GTATAATATAAATATATATATATATATATATATATATATATATATATATTATTTGATAACATTTTTAGTGTCATATGTTAGTTGGACAATTTTATCTTTTAATAAAGTAAAAAATATTTTATTTATTTATTTAAAAAGAGAAATAATTGAATACTTTCTTATTATTTTTAAATAACTAAATAATCTTTTACCTTTTTAACATGATTTCTTTAATATTATTTTTATAAAATCATTCATACACAAACACATAAAATTATTGAAATTGTACAAAATGTTAATATAAAATTATATATGTTTTAATGTAATAAAAATGTGAATACATATAGATGTGTTTTTGCTAGTATTGATCTCCAAAATTGCAAGATTTTTTTGTTTTCCAAAATTTTTAAAAAAATATAGCAGATTTACTATTTAGAAATTAAAGGTAAACAATTATTTCTGTTTTCCAAATCTAGTGTTTTAACTAATTATTACACTTTTTTAAAAAAATTATGGGACAAATGTTTTACAAAAATTATTAAAACCAAAATTGGATCTACTTTGAATTTATGGAAAAATAAAAAAACGATTTTTTATTGTTTATTATTTATCGATTTATTTTGTAATTGAGAAATAAATAAATGTCGTGCTTCCAAAATTCTAATGCATAAATTTTTATTTAACATTTTTTTATAAAATGTTAGTTGACTTATCAAGGGTTATTCATGTAATTAGAGTGTCTTTGACCAAACAATTTTTTTGTAAGCTAATACAAGTTTTCCATTTACTATATAGTCAATATATTATTTAAACTAGTGTTTGGGCTACATCAATAACATTACATAATGAATGTCATTTTGTTTACCCGTTTTAAGTTTTTTATTTTGTTTTTAATTATGTTTTAAAATTTTAAATCTTGAATTTATGATTATGTTAAATATACAACAAGGATAAATAAAAGAAAAACAGAAGAGACTAAAACTATTCATCCACTCAAAATATGTATACATTATTAATTCACAATATAGTTTTTTGTTTTCCTTCCTTTTCTTGAAATTATGTAATTATATTATTTCTCTTACATACTTTTCATTTAAATTATAGAGTACACATTAAATATATAAAAAACAATACATAATTTTTAAAATAAACATATAAAATTAAAAATTAATATAAATATTGATTTTTAAGTCATTAAAAAATATGCTTACGACAAGAAGTTAAGTAACTCAAAGTCTAAAGTCGAGTTGTGGAGATGAGATAAATATGCACAAGGTGTGAGATAAATTAAATATGTAAAAACAAATTTGATTTAAAAATATTTAAGGTATTGCCGAGTTACATTAAATACTCTTTTAAGGGGTGAATTTAAGCCACAAAATGTGTAAGGGTCATATCATAAAGGTAAAAAAATCCAATGATAGACAAATTAGTAATTTTTTAGACATAAGTTGATCTCAAAGAGTGTTACCCGGAATTTACATCTTTTAAAATAAAAAAGCACAAAATTAGGAAAATAAAATAAAATGTGTAATGTAAACAAAAAATATTTAATCAAATTGAAGATTTGATCACATCAATGCGAGAGACATGCTAGAAGAGGAAATTTCATTATAGGGTAGCCTACAAAAATGTGGTTCTGAGACGAACATGGATATGGGAGACGAACTTTACATTACGTGGTTATTAAGTTGATAAATTCATTTTTATTATGAAATTCGAAACATAATAGTTTTAAGAAAAACTACTTTTAAAGTAAGGAAACTTAGTAAATTATGATATTACTTTCTTTGGTAATTTAGTATGAAATATATAATTATGATATAATCATTCATATTGTTAATATTGTTAAGTTAGTTGAATGAAAATGACATTTTAAGAAAATTAATATATTTTAATTTGGTAAAATTTTAATTGAATAATTTGTGAATGTTATAAAATAAATAAAATGTGTCACTATAGCAATATCCTGGTTTGGATAATAAAGATTCTAATCTACCTATTAAACACAAATTGTACATAAGCTATGTTTGATATGTGTAGTTTGATAAGTTGTTACTTATACAAACATAAACAAGTATACATACTCAAATAGGTTTTTATTCAAAGAAGACACTAAGTATACTTCGTATAATAAATGCAAGGCTTAAACTTTTCATAAATCATATTAAACACTTAAGAATGTTTGGTTTATGCTTGTAAGAATGACGAGCTTCTTCAATCTTTAAAGAAAATATCTCAACACTTTATCAACATCAAATATCACTCTGAAAATATGTGTTGAAAGTTGTTTCATGTAATTGCCTCTCTAGAATAGATAAGAAGTCAACATTGAGTAGTTGAATTAGGTCTACACTTTGTTCAAAAATGAAAAAAAAAAGTCACCTATCCATGCTTATTAAACTTCGTTTTGTTGCAAAGGTGTTACCAAAGAAGCTACACACATTCAATGGTTGCATTTGACCAAACACAAGAAGAAGCAATAATAGAAGTTTATCCTTGCAATGACTATAAAAAAATGTACAATGACTTTTTTTTTTCAACTTTTTTCTATAAAAACTCTCAGGAAATAAGTAGTTATGAAAAAACAAACAAAAGTCTTAACACAAGAATATGTGCAAAATCTAAAGCTTTAAAGCCTTATAGTTGTGAGAAAAAAACACTATTATATTCTTTTAAAAAACTATAAGAGAATGTTTAACCTTGTAAGCATTGAAAGATACAACCCTTAGAACAACCCTTGTGGTATTTTGATCACAATCCAAAATTTAATTTTGTTTTAAGCCATAAGTGACTTGTTATCGAAGGAATATTCAAAGAAGCCAATAATGACTTATTGTTGTATGAATATTTGTGTTAGTCAATAGTGACTTGTTGTTGAACAATATTTATATTAGATAGGAGTGACTACAAGTAGAAGAATATTCATTTGTATTTTAGATTGATAATTTATATAGTGAAACTTAATAAGTTGATTTAGAAATATACGTAGTATATGTTATTAGATGAACTAGTATAAAAACATCTTGACTAATTTCTTTCCTTTTTATCTAGCTATATTACATATTATAATTATTACACTAACTTAAGGAGAATTTTTATAACTCAAATTGTAAAAGTCGTAAACATCTCATCTGACTATTAAAACTCATTGTCCGACTACACATATTTAAGTGATATTTGCAAATAATTCTCAATAGTTTAAAATAAAATTTAACCTTTTCCTTTTTGTGTTTTTCTATGGCACCCAATTGATGTTGGAAGCAATATATTGCACAAACTAAATTATACCTTCATTCACAAAGTTGTGGTTGCATTCACATGAGTCTAGAAGAAGTCCTATAAGAGAAAATTGTACCTAGGATTAACACAAAGGTGTAAATAGGACTCCATGGGTGTGACAGATACTAAAAAATTATTTTATATGTTTCACTTTAAAGGTTTTATTGCATCCACCTAATCATTGAAGACAAACTATAATAGAAGGATATGTTTACACAAAATTGGAGTATAAAATGTACTACAAGAAAAAATTCAATAAAGTTTAACTCTGAAGGTAACATGAGTGTAAAAGCAACATGTAGAGATAATTTTCAAATCATTAAATTCAGTATCTATAATTTATTTATATTAAAGAAATAATTTTCAAATCATTAAATTCAGTATCTCTAATTTATTTATATTGAATTCACATAAGACGTTGTAATTGTATTTGTATGGTGGCTCTTTAATAAAAAAATTATATTAATTATGCATATTAATTTAAAATTTTATGAAATCACATTAATATCAAACTTTTGTATACTTATAATCAAAATTTTCTTTAAATATGTTATAAATAAATTAAGGAAAAAAAGTAAAATTTTTATAAATAATTCAGAATAAAATAATGATTAGTCTATGAAGGGATCGACATCATTTATAATAAAAACGTTAAGACAATAAATTTAAGAATCCTTCTATTTAGATAGTGAAATATCTGATACTAATTAATTATAAACTATAAATATAAAAAATTAAGACAATTAATTTATAAGTTCTTTTACTTATATATAAATTATTTTAAGACAACTCACTTTTAATTTCTAACAAATAAACAAATAAAATCTTCTTTTATCAGTATGGTTTGAAAATTTATATATATATATATATATATATATATATATATATATATTATCAATTTAGATATAATATTCTATTATTAAAAGAGATTGTGAACTGATTGTTAAAAAAACAGAAAAAGATGGATGTAAAGTTTCCTAATTTTATTTCTTTCGTTTAATTGAATTAAATATTATGAATATGAATGTATTTTATTAATCAATAATGAAAAAAATATAAAATTTCGTTGGTAATAAGCATAACATGATAATATATTTTAAAAAGCTGAATAATTATATCTATTACTAAGGAAGATTGTATTAGACTTATACTAAAAGGAACTATTTTTTCTTACAATCCAGTTATGCAATTCTTTGGTACAGTGCATAATAAAATTTATTTCTTCATATTTATGTTAAAAATTATATTAGAATCTTAGTTAAATTTACGAAAATAAGGAGATGGGAAGGAATGTTACAGTTCTTGGAGTGAAACTGGAATGGGGTTTGTTTTCCATGCATAATAACTCTTGTCGCATCTCTTCTCACATTCGCATTCTCTTCTCTCTTCCCTCTTTCAAATTCTATTTCTCTCAATTCCCTAACTATGGCAGTTCCCGCGCAAACCAGCGAGGCTGATGCGTGGGACGCGGTCCTACGCCAAACGAAGTTGGCCGTTGAGAGCAACACCGATCCTTACGCGTGGGCCTTCGACATCAGGTCGACGCTTCACTCCTCCGCCATTGCCATCCCTTCCACCGAACTCGCTCATCGCTTGGTCTCTCACTTCTTTTGGGACAACTACTCCGCCGCCGCATGGAAGCTTCTACACACCTCCCTATCCCTCGACATCATCCCTCCCTCCCTCCTCGTCGCACTTCTATCTGCCGCGTAAACTCACCTCTCTCCTTTCCCTTTTCCGTTTTCTCTTTTTCACTTCCTCTGATACATTTACGTTCTAATTAATTTAACTACTGATTTTGTTTCTGGAAAGTGCATTTTCATGGGCCTGCTTAATGTTTCATTTATATAATATGTATCTGAAGATGTAGAATCACTAGATGAAGGAATTCGTACTGTAACGTTGGTTTTGCTCCGTTCGTTATCGGAATTGTTTCATCGTGGTTGATGGTTAAGATAGAGAGAAAGGGGAACTATTTTTGGTTTACTAGAAAATGAGAGTTTGACGATACTAACCTCTGATTTCTTTTTCTATTATTTATTTATTTATTTTTATTGGAACATTGCATGGAACTGCAACCGCTACACTGATTTACTTGTTTTCTTCTATGTGTATGCTACTGCAGGGTTGTACCACGCAGAAAACTCTACCCCACTGCTTACAGACTTTATATGGAACTCCTTAAGCAACTTCGAGATATGCTTGAACATGATGTCAGTTCTCCAAACTATGAAAAGTGAGGTCCAACTCCAATTGAACTTGCTGGACAAGAATTGTTTGTGTTAGCTTCTGAATATGTTTAGCATTTTGGATATTCTATTACTACGTCGGTTTGAATGTGAACTTATCATTGCTCCTGTTCAATTCAAACTGAATAAATCCTGTCTGATACAACTAAAGCGAAATCTAGCCAGTGTTATTTGGTCTTCGTTTGTACTTGTTTTTTGTGTTTTTCTTTGATTTGATGTGAAAATTTGGGAATACGTGCCATGCAGGCGTCAATGCAAACACACTGCTCATATCATGGTAAATCTATTATTGTAGAAATTTGCTTTGTTACGAGGTTGATGTGTATATGTTAATGCCTAATGTCGATCTTATTGGCTAAAGACTCACCTTAGTAGCCTAACTTACGAAAGACCACTACAATAACTAAAATGTAATGTTAACAATTTGTAGTTATAATATTGTTTGAAGGTTTTTGAATAGCATGCTAATGTGCTAAAAATATTTAAAATTTAATGCAACAGAATTAGAATGTATGATTGACAATTTCCCTTGATAATGACGAATCATGTTTAAAAAGTATTGAGATAACTGGGCAAAAGCATCTGCTATCCAATTTGCTATTTGAAGTTTTAACATATTATTTACACTTAATGACTATGGTTAGGTTCTGACCATTTTTTCAATCCACAATAGTAAAATTCTTCTTTGTTAGGTTTTTGTGGTACTTGAAAGTCTTACTATTAGGCTTTATGCTGTCAACCGGAAGTTACTTGTTGATGCCGCTGTTTTTAACATATCTGTCCCTCAAAGGCTCAAACCATTGACCACACAAATTGGGATGAGATTTTAGAGCTATATTTGAAGGATATGCATGTTAAAGAAAGGAAAGTTGCATATAGTGCATTGCTCGCAAAAGTAGATTTGACCTCAAATTTCAATGTTATCTCCTAAGGCTACATTTCATCATATGCAAGTAGATATTTATATTATCTTGTTGATAAAAAGGAAACATAAGTCTGCTCAAGTAGTTTTTTGTGTGTTTTTCTCTTTCTCTTTTCAGGGTATGGGAAGGTTCGTTGTTTATTTCTGAATACTAATAATGACATTTCAAACCAATGATTCTTTAGGATTATGAAATCAATTGATGACGTTCTTCAGCTTTCTCAAGTATACGGTCAAAAGTTGTGGGAGCCTGGAATTGTTCTAGTTGAATTTGTCTTTTCAGTCGTATGGCAGTTACTTGAAGCATCATTACATGACGAAGGCTTACTAGATCACACTACAGAGAATAAGCCTATATGGCTATGCAGGTCACATGACATGGATATTGATGGACATGACAGTGTAGGCGAAAAGAAAACTAAGGATGTTGAGGGGTTTCAGAAGAAAAATACAGCAATGGCTATAGAGATTATTGCAGAATTTTTGCAACACAAAATGACTTCAAGGATCCTTTCCTTAGTTCATTGGAACATGTAAGAACTTAATTATGATATGCATTACATTAGGTAAACCAGCTAAATACTCATTTGAGTGAATCTCAATTAAGGCTTTAGAACCTTTTATTGAAGGGAAGTTATCTCTGTAGGCCATCATATTGGAAATCTTTCGTTCACCAAACACAGCTGCTTGTGTCAAACTCTCCAATTTTAAGGAATTTGAGAAATAATACCGCAGACAGTCTTATGAGTTTGACGCAAAATATCCATGCGGTTGTTTCTCATGAGTTCAAAATAAAATCTAAGGTGAGGACTGAAGAAGTCATATGTGGTGGTTCGCCCATGTCTTTTGCTGCACAGTCTTCTGGGGATAGTTGGTCTGCACTCTGGCTTCCTATTGATCTTATTCTTGAAGATGCTTTGGATGGAGAGCAAGTGGCAGCTTTTAGTGCTATTGAGATTATTACAGGTAATGTTTTTTTAAGTGAAAATGTTGGGAAAATAATTATACAAGGAAGAAAAGGAACTCGATGAAGGAGTCTAGACATTAACTGCTTTGGGTTCATCGTTATTATGGTTCCTTTTCTTCTTTCCATACGTGCAGATATTTTGAGTCTTTCCAGGTTCGTTTTTTTGGCTTCCTTCAGAAGTTAATGTGGTTCATATAATTTCAAGGACCACATTATGGTTTTACCCAACAAAATTAAAACAAATCTTACTAAACCTTCTGATTCAAGTCAAAGAGAGAGGAGAAACTAGAAAATGTTATACCCCAGCCTATGAAACATTGACCCTTCTAGCTTCATCTTCTTGGAAAGTTGTCTTAATTGTGTCCTCTTCTGGGCCTTAATTGAAACCTCGAGGAGTGTTTTTAGCCTCAAACTACCTAGAAATATGACTTATGTAGAACTTATAAAACTTTGGCAATCCTCAAATTACAAGCTACTTTTATTGGTTTGGGTTAGGCTCTAAGCCCAAATTCTAAGACATGCCAGAATCATGCCAAAATACACAAGTGACAGCCTCTCTTTTTGGCAGACAGAAAGGATTAGAAAGCAGCCAGAAAAGGATCTATAGAAATTGCAAAATGCTGAGTGAGAAAGTGGATATCACAGAATAAAATCTGCCTTGTAACAAATAGAACTGCTGCTATTTCTATAAAAAAAAGTTGTTAAATGTGAATACTGATCTCAAGTTTTTCCATGAGAGGATTGTGACATGGAAAAACAATCCAAATGGAATCTTTTGGGTGGGAGTTGAACTGAATACTTGATTTAAATGACAAACTTTCTCGTATTTTTATTTCCAAATATGTGTCATGTCATTGATTTGAACTTGTAATTGCAGGTTTGGTGAAGACTTTACACGTTGTTAATGGCACTATGTGGCACAGCACATTTTTGGGGCTATGGGTTGCAGCACTGCGTTTGGTTCAAAGGGTTGGAACTGTTCCAACAAAAAGGGTATGGTGCCGATGATACTCCCGGAAATATTGCTTGATAAATTTCTTCATGTGTATGATCATTAAAAGCGAAAGACTGTGCTGCATGTCATTTACATTTTACTTTTTCTGTGTTGGCGCATGACTCCTTTGTGTTTAATCTGATTCATTGGTCCTTCATAAAAGATCTAGAGATACTGGAAATTTGCATGCAATTGTACTTTACTTAATAATCACAACAACAAATCTAGTATTATATTATTCACCCTGTTATTTTAGGAGAGAGATTCAAAAGAAGGTCCTATACCTCGTCTTGATACCTGCATGTGTATGCTACTGAGCATTACAACCCTCGTGGTTACTTGTATTATTGAAGAAGAAGAAGGTCAACTGATTGAAGAAGCTGAGCATAGCCCTACAACAAGCAAAGGGACAGAAAAACCAGCTCTGGGGAAGTGTCGTGGGGAATTGATTACCAGTTTACAGCTATTGGGTGATTATGAGTCCTTACTCACTCCACCTCAGCCCGTTCTTGTGGAAGCCAATCAGGCTGCTGCCAAAGCTATTTTGTTCTTATCAGGAAACCCTGTTGGTAGTGGATACATGGAATATACGAATGGCTTGCCGATAAAATATTGTGAGTAATTTCTTTTATTGTGGTAATGAGGAATCTGTAAAGATTTGTTTTTGGCGGTAGACTTTGTACTTCAAACTGATATGTATCCTTCTATGATTCTGTTGCTTCCCCAAATGGGTCTCCCTGTGAACATACAGTAAACATTGCTTATCAATTTAATTTTTTTCTGTCTCACTCTATCTCACACATATAACAATTATAGTTGTCCATAGTTTTATTGATGGCGCTGGCACCTTGACCTGTGATATTCAATCACATTTTTGTAATCTGGTCATCTGGCAATGCTCTTTTTGCCTCTGTAATTTTCTTTTTCGTTTCATAAAAGTCTGTTCATATTTTTTTCTGGATCCCTTACCTTTTATGCCTTTGGGGTATAGTGACGCTGTTTTTCTTGTATGTTTTTCCATGCAGCTGGCAACTTACGCCATCTAATTGTTGAGGCATGTATTGCCAGAAACCTACTTGACGCATCAGCTTATCTATGGCCTGGCTATGTGAGTGAATGCAGCAATCAAATTCCTTGTAGCATTTCTAATCATGTCCCTGGCTGGTCTTCTTTGATGGAGGGGTCACAGCTAACTCCTGAATTGGTTAATGTCTTAGTTGCAACTCCAGCTTGCAGGTAAGCTGCATCATTCATAGTTCATATGTTTTGTGACCCTTTCAATCCCCTCTTAAATTTGGTTTCAGAACGGAAAAATTCGAGGAAGTGGTTGACTTATGTAAATTAGATGGGGTTTTTCAAGAATTTTAATCTTTCCAAAATGATGCTTTTGCTACTTATTTTTGTCTCTTGGTGGTGGTTTAGGGGTAGAACACAGTTTGTACTTTGAATTTTTGACGTTGTGTTCATTCATTTGATCAGAAAATTCATGAAAAGTCTTGGCTCTCATCATTCATGCTACTGACGTAGAATACTGTTCATACTTCAGTAGTGGTTGCATTTTGTGCTTTAATGTAATTTAAATATGTGGATATTATTGTAATGTGTAAAAGAATCTTCAAAACTTTATTCTATACAAATATTGACGTGGTATGCAAATCACATAATATACAACAGATAGATATGAAATAACGGAAACAACATATATATACTATACAGTATTAAGGGTTGCTATAAAATACTTTTCTTTAGTATAGGCTTTATTGCTCCCATAGTTCCTCGATAAAGGGACTTATTGATCTGGAAAATACATTGAGATTCTTGTCTTTTAGATCAAATATAGATTTATATTTCAAAGACACTAAATACGCAATACACATTTACGGAGTCTTCGTGTGTAAGTGAAAGTGGTGGCTATCTGATCAAGGATAGTATTGCATAATAGCTCCTCTACAGTACAGCATGCCGTGCATCCTTCTTTTCATGAAGCCAATATTAGATGCCCTCTTTTGAAAATTTAAAAGCAACTGAATTTCTTGGATTTTGATGTAAGCTTAGCAGAGATTGAGAAAATATATGAAATTGCAATCAATGGTTCAGATGAAGACAAGATATCTGCTGCTACCATTATGTGTGGGGCATCTCTGGGACGTGGGTGGAATATACAGGTACTGTTTTTAGCATTCCAATTTTACCAGAGGCTTCTATTCTTAGTTTTTAGCTTGTTCAATGTGTCTTCTGTCCCTTTAATTTTGTCAGTTATTTGTTCATTATCTTTGTTTGCAGGAGCTTACCCTTCTTTTTATCACAAAATTGCTTTCGCCTATAGATCCTCCCAATTACTCTGGGGCTGAGAGCCATTTGATCAGCCAAGCTGCCTTTTTAAACGTTCTACTTTTGGGAATCTCATCTGTAGACTGTGTTCATATATTCTCCCTACATGGTTTGGTAAGCTCTGTTTTTTATCCTTGTAGTTTAACAGACATGTTAAATTGCGAACTACCCTTTTTCTTTTTAAGGGAAGTTTTTATTAAGTCTTTTTGTAGTATAGGAAGGCTCTATCATAAATTATGTTCTCAGTTTTCATTAAAGCTAAAGGAGGATGGAATGTTATAGAGAACTAGTATATGTTGCATGTACATTCTTCGTTCATATGTTGTATTTATGCCATTTACTGCAGGTTCCATTACTTGCGGCAGGACTAATGCTAATAAGTGAGGTTTTTGGATCACGTGTTCCAGATGCCTCGGGGACTGTTGCAGCCGGAGAAAAACTCACTCATTGGGAGGTATTCTCTAATGCATTTACTCTTTTGCTGAGATTTTGGCGGTTTGATCGTCTACCTGTTGAACAAGTGAGAAGCGATGCAACAGCGCCACCATTTGGATCACTACTTAGTCCTGAATGCCTTTTATTAGTTCGAAACAGTAAATTGGCGTCGCTTGGAAGAACGGCAAAGGATCAGAAAATGCTCAAAAGATGGTCAAACATTTTAAGCTTTCCTGCAGACCCTGTATTTATGGATTTCTTCCCAAAATTAAACTATTGGTACCGAAAACATCAAGAAAGCATTGCTTCTACCCGCTCGGGTCTTGTGCCTGGAGGGCCTGTTAATCGGATCGTCGATGCCCTACTAAGCATGATGTTTTCGAAGGTAAGTAATGGAGCCGAACCTTCGACTTCAGGAAACAACAGTTCATCTGGGCTTGCATTGGATGATGCTTTAAAAGTGCCTGCCTGGGATATCCTCGAAGCTATTCCCTTTGTCCTGGATGCTTCGCTGACATCCTGCGCTTATGGGAAACTCTCTACCCGTGACCTAGCTACAGGTATGCCTTGTTCTCTGTTTGTCTCGTAATAATACTTTGAAAACATTTTTTTGACAACATATTAACACTGTCTATATTTATGTGTGATTCTGTAATTGGTCCAAAATTATTCTACAATCAATAATATTAATCATAAACATCAATATAGACCGAATGACACGTAAACAGTGTTAAAATGTTATCAAAAAATATTGTCAAAATATCATTATCTTAATTTTTAACTTCAACTTAGCACGAATCATATTGAGTCTGGACAAGATTACAACGAGGACTGAGACTACATAATGTAATAATGTCATAGCCTGGAGATTATGTCTAAACTTAATGAGTCCTAAAATAACTTAAATAAGCAAAGTAAATAAAAAAATAACCGAACCCAATCCTAAAGCCAACCATTTAATGCTTGTTCTAATAATAAACTTGTTCATAAATTATATCTTTATTCTAAGGAATTTTTTATTTTTCTTCCACTGAATATGAGAAATGTTAAAGCATTTCTTGTATCAAAACCTCACCTAATTTCTTTCTTTTATACACATAGAAAATGTATCTTGCATTAGAAACTTGGAACAAATATCCAAGCTTGTTGAATGCAAATATAAGGTAGATTAATTTTTAAAATTGATTAAATAAATAAGTAGCTTTACCTTAAGAAAATCATTTTAAAAATCTATACATGATGACACCACCTAGCTCTTCCAAGTGCAGCCACTACTTGAAAATGCTGAATTAGGCATTGGCAATATGAAAATTACGTGACTATTGTGCTAATATTGTTTAATATATCTTATGATGGTAATAAGGATGATATTATAATAATAATAATAAAGATGGTGTTGTGGTAATATATATTAGAGACAGTGGTACAAGTGGAGGAGGTGAGAGTAGGAATGAAGGTAACAAAACTGGTCGTGTTATGATAGTCACAAACAATAAAAATGACGCTTGCAACGGTGATGGTGTAGCACACGAGTCAAGATTGTAACATCGATGTGTATGGAAATAAAAAAATTCTACATTATTCATAAATTAAAAATATTATAATTTCTTCCTGAATGTTCGTAGATATAGAAAAAAAATTTAATTATTCATGAATGATAAATATTTTAGATTTGATAATTATGAAATGCATGTTGTTATGTTTAATTCAAAATTCAGAAATACATGGTAAATTATGTAATTTAGAACTGTGGTATATAATTCAGAATTTAAAATATATTTTAAATTATATTAAAAATATATAATTTAAGATATATTTTTAAATTTGGAATTTTTTTTATTGAATAATGAAAATATATCTTTATTAATCTGAAATACTTATATTTTTTTAATGAAAAGTATATTTTAAATTGTATAATAAGAGGTATTATTATAATATATATTTTTAAATTACAGCATCGTGATAATTATTTCGGATCATTAGTTAGAAAATCTGAGTAAATGCTGTCCTAACATCCATGGCATGGAGAAAACATGGAGGTGGATGAAGAAAGATCACTTTTAAGGATTTTGCATTCTCTTAAGTAGCGGATGCGGCGGAAAAAATCTTGATATCGAACGTGAATCCTATATTTGAGAAATTTGCACCGGATTGTATTGCAATGCTGATTTTTGAAACTTTTATTTCGTTTGCTATGTAATTTGATTTTCACATGCTTTTTCTCAGGTCTCAAAGATCTAGCCGATTTCCTTCCGGCTTCTTTGGTTACCATTGCAAGCTATTTTTCTGCTGAAGTTACGAGAGGCGTATGGAAGCCAGCTTTAATGAATGGAACTGACTGGCCCAGCCCTGCCTCAAATTTATCCCTTGTTCAACAAGAAATAAAGAACATCTTAGTAGATTTCAATGTCCCAAGCCTTGATATAGGTGAAGTTCTCTTATGCTTTGCTTAGATCGATTTGCAAGTGGAAAAGTTAAAAAAAAAAAATTGAAAATTGAGATTTTTTTAGATTGGTAGGAAGAAAATAAAAATTGTATGAAAAAATTTGTATTAGATATGATTGATGTGATAGAATACTTTTTTTTATATATTTAAAAAGTATTTTTTAAAAGTGATTTGATATAAAAGAATTTTTAAAATATAAGTTAAATTTAAAATAAAATTTAAATTAAAAAATATTATCAAATCTAAGTAAATAAAAGAGATATGTTTAAAATAATTGTAAAACTTAAATAAATTATATTATAGAGTATAAAATTTTAAATTGATTAATTTCGTTTTGATCATTATTTTAATATTTTTATTTCAATTATTATTTTATTACAATATGAAAACATATAAATTTAGTAAAATATTAAATTATTTAATTTTGATTTATTGCTTTAATTTTTTTTTTAATTTTGTATTTTTATAATGTAAGAACATTTATTCATAAATATTATTATTTTAATTAATCATTTAAATTATTTTTTATTATAATGTAAAAACTTATACAAATAAGTATTAATAATTTGATTATTAAAACAATAATAATAGGTTAAAGTTAAATGATAATAAAACATTTATACACATGATTTCTAGGTAATCATATACGTATATATTTTCTTTGCAAATAGACTCTGAATAGGGTCGAAAGTTAAAATTATAAATTTACCTCGTTTTTTTACACTTTCTTTATACATTGATTTTCACACTTTCATCTCTTTTCAATCTGTGTAAATAGTATTTGAATAGATCCAAAATTTCTCACTTTCATCTCTTTTCAAGTATAAATAGTATTTGAATAGATCCAAACACAATGTTAATCTACACTCTATATTTTTATTGTGTTTTCTTTAAAACATAAAGGAGAAGAATTCGAATAAGTGGTCTTAAGGAACAAAAGTAAAAAGTAACTAGTGTAAAAGAAAAACATTTATCATATTACTTATTTGCAGCAGGAAATCCTTAATTGACATTATAACAAAGATGCATATTCTTTCAAGAGCGCAGGAGGAATTATATCTACAACTGACTGAATGGTTGACCAATGAATATCCACCTGTTACCTTTACCTGCATTATCATTCTATGTGGAAAAAGAAAACGTTCATTATGTTGACAGTGTTTTTTTCAAAAAATTTTGTAGATGGAAAGTCTCCACCCACACTTCCTTTGCCTTTGGCAGCTTTTGTAAGCCTTACGATTACATATAAACTTGACAAGGCCACTGAACGATTCCTTGCCCTGATTGCCCCTGCCGTGACTGCCCTTGCTTCTGCTTGCCCCTGGCCCTCCTTGCCCATTGTGACGTCTTTGTGGATCCAGAAGGTGAAGCGTTGGAGTAACTACTTTGTGCTCTCTGCTTCCAGCACTGTTTTCCACCACAACAGGGATTCTGTAGTTCAACTACTAAAAAGTTGCTTCACATCCACCCTTGGCCTTGGCTCTGCCTGCATTTATGATAATGGCGGTGTCGGTGCCCTTCTTGGTCACGGCTTAGTTCCCCAAATATCCGATGGGATCTCTCCAGTTGCTCCAGGAATTCTTTACCTAAGAGTGTATCGGTCTATTGGAGATATCGCGTTATTGATTGAAGAAATTGTGCCTATTCTAATGCTTTCGGTTAGAGACATAGCGAGTGATTTGACCAAGGGGGTTATAAGGAAACCAAAGAAAACCAAGTTTGGGATCAAATATGGCCAAGTTTCTCTGGCCAGATCCATGGCACGTGTGGAGCATGCGGCTCTACTCGGCGCTTCATTGGTTTGGATATCAGGTGGACCAAAGTTCGTTCAATATTTAATAAGTGAAACTCTGCCTTCCTGGTTTTTATCAGCTTCCATGTTGGAGGAAGGTGGTGGAGAATCTGGAGTTATGGTTGCCATGCTCAAAGGTTATGCACTGGCATTTTTTGTCTTCCTTAGCATAGCATTTTCCTGGGGTATTGACAACTCGCATCCACCTAAACGACTGGCGAAGGTTATTGGGTTGCATATGGAATTTCTTGAGAGTGCCCTGAACAGGACTACATCAATGCGTTGTCATAGTGCTACTTGGGAGGCCTATGTTTCATGGTTTGTCAGCTTGATGGTGAGCCGAGCTCCGTCGTGGATTCAGGAAGCTGACGAGGATTTGCTCAAGAGACTGAGCAGGGGACTAAGATGTATGGATGAAAACGAGTTGGCTCTTCGCCTGTTGGAAATTGGAGGGATACGTGTGATGGGCGCTGCAGCTGAAATGATAATTGAATTTAAACGTATCTGAACGGGTAAATACTATACTCATTTATTCTTTGATTCCTTAGATAAGGGCTTTTTCTTCAGTATAAAGGGTATTGGTATGCTATTCTTCACATTGAAATTGTGCAGAAGTTACTTCCATGAAACTACTTTTTACACAGTATTCGAGCATACATTAGCCATTATGCCTTCTCACCAATTTATTATTACCTCATAGTAATTAATCTACAAACGGAGAAGATTTCAAGATTATTATTATATTGTTAGAACTTTGAAAAAATTTTAATTATTTAAGAGACGTTTCGCAAATAATTTTCAGGTAATTATTCTCTTAAGATTTTATAGTTTGACTCGAATAAGATTTCAGCTGTTAAAAATATATAATTAAGATTAATCCATTTTTTTATTTTAGCAGAGGAGGACATTCAACAGTGGCAAAAGGCAATCAAATGCTGAACTTGCAATAAAAAAGAAATAAAGAATATAAATTTTTAGACTATGATTCTAAGGAGATGCAGTGACGTGTGTACCGTTAAAACGTAGAACAAAATACTTTTAAAATACCATTTCCAAATGCAAAGCCATTTTTTACGTTATTTAAAAAAATATTAATTCTTTCAAAGTTCTACCAAACTTAGTAGAAATAGTCCAAAATTGTCATCTTTCTATTCCAACCAAAAAAATTAGAGAGATAGAAACCACAAAGTATTGGGTGGGTGGAGTTGTGTATCACCTTTACAGTATATTGGGACTTGGAGAATGATATGATTAGCATATAATTTCTGCAATTAAAATTAGAATTTAGACAAGCATAGGCCTAGCTTGTGGGATAACCTATGCCAAAGTGGCATTGTAACAACAGTCAGTGTAATGCTCTGCTTAAATCCTTGTGCATGATGCCAGAAAACTGAATTGAAAAAATATTGTATCTTCCCAAAAGCAAGAACAAAAGTGACAGATAACAGTACTGCTACAAACGGATGAAAAAAAAATTCAAGGTAAATTGGAAGTGCCTGCAAAATTGAAACAGCAGGAGAGGAAACACGAAAATGAAGGATCCACCAATAATCATTAGTTGTTATAACATCAACTACTCAAAAACAATGTTAACATAATTTATTGGTTCTGTGACATCTATTATACATTGTTTTTTTTTGCTCTTTTCTCTTTTGGGATCACCATTATCGCTGAACAAGAGGACTAAAGGTGCCATCAGTTTCAACTTGACTACACTATAAACTTGTTCAATGTATTGAGCACACATCTATAATGCTTTGGCAACATAAAGATTTGTCAGGATTTTTACAAATTAGTTAGGTTTATTCTGAAACTGATCTAAAAACTAAGAACAGAGATTTCTCTCAGCTTCTTCACCCTAAGTTCTCACTTCATTAGCATTGTATTTTTGTAAGAGTTGTACAGAGAAATATGATGACCTTGACTTACTTAAACAAGAAATGATTTTGAATAAAAGTTACAATCTTCTTTAAATAACTACCCTTATATAATTTACAAGCAGTGTGGCTGTAACACTTTGAAGACCAAACTGAAGTGAAAAATGAAATACCTAGAATTCTCCAGTGGGGATAGAAGCCAGCAAAACATGTCCGATTCCTAAATTTAAGGTACCACCATACTATATGTATGTAGCATTTTTCTTGCATATAGAAAGATACTGTTTCAGATTAAAGCCTTAACCAACCGGTTTGGATATTGACAGTAACAATTATAAAGTAAATACTCCTTTATTTATCAAAAAATAAAGACAATGTGAAATCAATACCATGAAACTACATTTTACACGGTATTCAAGCATACATTGCTCGGTATGCCTTCTCACCAACTTATTATTACCTCCTAGTAATTAATCTACAAACCCATAACTGAATGACAAAATTTGCAAAATTTGAGGGAATGTAGCCCTTTTAAATGGTATAATTACACGCCTCAAACAAAACGCAGCTGTGAGACTTCATTTTATAAGTAAACAGACCTGCCCTCATCTCAGGGACTATTTCACCACTGGTTGAGAAAAAGCTGGGAAATGGAAGAGCTGTGTCAACTAAGCGGTACCATGACATCCCTTCTGGAGGCAAGGGTAAAACTGTAGTTTCTGGGTGATCAGCTGCATTAAAAGCAATAAATAGATCCCCAGATATATCAGAAGACACAGAGCTCTCTGGGAACTTTGCTACTTCAGCCTTCAAAGTCATGGCCAGGAACTTGCATGATGGATCTTCCCATCTTGGTGGAGCCCCATCACTTCCATACCATTCTATGTTTTCTTCTTTTAAGAAGCTCCTTCTCTGAAGAAGATCACTCCTCCTCTTTCTCAGTGAACTCATAAAGAAAATGAATTGTGAGATTTGTTTACCAAAGCCTGTTGTCAAAGTATTCCAAGTGATGGGCTTTATGTCATCGTGTGCAAGAGAACCACCAGAGGAGTGGGCACATTCATCTCCCATGTTCAGAACAGGTACTCCTAATGACACAAACAAGACAAAGAGGAAATTACGGATTTGTTTGAGTCGCGTTTCAAGGACAGTGGTGTTGTTAGTGGCTCCTTCTTCTCCACAATTCCAACTCAATTCATCATCACTGTTGAAGCTAACCAAGTCTACAAGAGAAAATCCTAAATTCTTGGCAATGTAATTAAAAGAGAATGTTGGGCCTCGTCCGTCAGAAAACATGTCTCCACTCCCACAGAGTCTTGTTGCAAGGTCGCTAAGAAGACTTTCACCCCTTAAAAAGTTCCTCACATCATTACAAAATTTTGCATTCATTTCAGCCCATCTCATCCAATGAGGAAAGTGAATTTCCTTCGCTACCATGTCATGAGGATCCCAGCAATCTGCAATGATTTTAGTCTTGGAGAGCACTGGGTCAAAAGCAATTGCTTCAACTAATGGAGGTCTAGACAAGTACTCCCCATGAAATCCCCTCAGCAGGTGTGAAGCATTTATGAAAGAGAAGCCATCAATGTGAAACTCAGTCACCCAATGCCGCAGACTGTCCAGAACCAAATTGTGCACTATAGGATAGTTACAGTTCAAAGCACTCCGTATCTTCAAATCACCAACTCCATTTGCTAAATAGTAGGATGAGTCATCAATTCCCTGTAGAGCACCAATCTGAGCAGTATTTGAGAAAACTACTTCCATAAGAACTTCTATCCCATTGGCATGCATAATTTTAACCATCTCTTTCATAGAGGCCATAGTAGATTCAGGACCACCAGATGGTCCATAAATGTGCATCAGGGAGAAAAAATTGCAAGGAAAATATGGTCCTTTTTTTTCATCAAATGTGAAAACCGGCTCCAGCAGAACAGCATTCACACCTATATCTTTAAAATGCTGAACCTTCTCAGCCAAACCAGTAAAGGTTCCAGCTGAACCACTTGGAAGTTGGCTTGACTCATGCTGTGTGAAGCGCTTGACATTCAACCTGTAAACCACCAGTTCCTCCATGGACAAATCTGGGTGAAAATCATCACCCCAGTCAAAAGCAGGTTCCTTTCTCAACCATCCAAGATTCTGCACTAGTCCAAGACCACCAGGACAAGAATTAGCGACAATCTTAGCATACGGGTCCAAAACAACATGCTCAGCAGAACTATCACCTCTGTTCTGCTTATGAACACCTCCTCTGCAGCGAAAACCATAGCTCACGAAACTCTTGACATTCTCAAGCGAGACATGCCACATGTCACCTGACCTATTCACATAGGGATCCAAATCAACCTCCAAAGCAGGCTTCTCCACACCCTTCTCATCATACAAGCACAAAACCACACTCTCAGCATGTCTCGAGAAAATAGAAAAATTCACAGAGCCATCAGGAGAATAAGAGAGCCCCAAAGGACTCGGGTAACCCGAAAGCAACCCAACCGGCACGCAGAAATTCGTTCTCCTATGGCTTCTAATCTCCAACCCTGCATTCAAAGATGACATCAAGAAAAATGACAAGTACAAAGGAACATATTTGGCATCAAATTCCAACTCAACTCCAAACTTGCCAACAGAAGTTTGCACCAAAGGACTAACATTCATCCGCTTTGCCGCAATCCCACTCAACCCCGTCGAATCCATATCCACAAAACAAGATGCATCACCCCTATACACACCCCAACACAACACCAATGTTTCACTTTCACCACAATGATTCACATCCAACGAAGAAATCTCAACGTAAACAAAATACCTATCTTTTTTCTTTGTGACATAAACTTTCACCAAACCTCCACCAGTTTCCGTCCTAAACAGATAAGCCAACGCCCCTTTCAGGTCTTCCGGTCGGGTCGAGGTTCCGACTTGTTGCTCCGTCTCCTCAATGGACAATCGTGAAGTGGCACACAATTTCGAAGATGGGTTTCGGAAAAAGGGGAAAAAGAGGTTTTGCGATCCAAGTTGGTGGTGCTTCCTTTGGATCAAGGGCTTGTGAAAACAAAAACTTTTGGCTTGGAATTTGTGTTGATTGAAAGGAAACAGTGACAAGGAGAAGAGTGACATAAAACTTGCCATAGTTGAATCTGCGGAAGGAAATTCAGTTGTTGTTAATTGAGCATTGCATGAGGTTGGACTGATAGAGATTACAGTAAGGTTGTTATGCATGTGAGTGAAGATATATTTTACGCTCCCCCATTTTCGTAGAATATATGACTCCCTAAATTTCGTGGAGTTTTCCTTTTAACTTTATTTTTTCTTTTATTTAACCATTGTTTACATCGTGAGGAACATGAATAGAAAAAAATTACAATATGTAGAAATAATCGATATAAAATCTTATAGTAGACATGTTTGAAAAGCAATGGGATTCACCAAATTTTTTTTATTTATTTCTTTATTTTTATATTATTGTTTTCAATCAAATACCTGTAACTTTTATTTTATTTTTCACCTCCTTTCATTCACTTTTTATTTCTCCAACCAAATAAACCATTAAAAATAGGTACTTATTTTTACAGGTAAACTATTGTTAATCGATAATGAATGAGATAAGAGAATCAGAGAATGTGTGTTGTGTCAAATAATCCTTCAAGGGACCGCATTGCGCCTGCTGTTTGCGTTTTTGAAGAAAGAAAGGACAACTATTTCCTGTCTTCTCTCAACTTTCTCACTCACTCCTCACCGTTGCCTTCCTTATCAAAAATTACTTTTTCCTTTGTAACTATCATTACAAACAAACCTCTCTTAATTATTTTTCAGTGCATCATTCATTCTTTCCATTGAAAAGTTTTGTCGTTCTTGGGCTTCTCCATCTGCAAGACTGTATACACACCGTCGAATGAACCAATCACTATGCAATAAATGTATATAAGAAGTGGTGAAAATTTTGAGAAAAAACGTAGTGTAAAAATCTTCTGTAAAGATAAATTTCTTTTTGATGCGTAAATAATGATCAAACTCCTTTAAAAAAATGTATCACAAAAGAAACAGTTATTTTCATCCCAGATGTTTGTTTCTGTTATTGTACATATTGAACATAGTCTTTTCTACATTAATTACAACAGCATAGAACATACTGATATTTACACAACAAATAACATTTTTGGAAGGCAATGGATAGCAACAGGATGTTACGATGCAAGTGGTTCTGGGAATCCTGCTTGATGCATCTCAAACTTTAACTAAAAATAGCTGATTCTCATTCACTTAATCACTTGAATCCATAAACTTTTCTTGGAATCTCAAATGGCAGCTGTACCTTAGCAACCGCCGGTTTCACTTTCAGATTTGCTACCCCTACGAGTATGTCTCGTTGTCTTAATTAGTGGATTCTCCTCTTCATCATCAACGGCTGCTGGTTTTTCAAAATCATTGTCCTTAAAAACTGGGTGTACGTAAGCATTCTGAAGGTAAACTCTCAGGTTTAAGTTTGGCTCAACGGCCCGTTCAAGTGTATCCTTCACCATTGCTTCCTGCCAAATCTCAAATATGTCAGCTAATACAGGACCATCATTGATATCTCCCTCTCAAAAATATATCTACTCAGACTCTGTTAGGATAAACTTCTGTACAGACACTTAAAGAACAATCAAGTAAAATGCATTGAACTTTTCTTTAAAATAAAATTTGTTTATGTATCTTTGTTTTTATAAAAATTCAGTGAATAGGAAGATAGTTTTAATTTATGAAAAATGTTTTAAGTGTATTTATTCTTCTATATGGACTTGTGAAGAACCATTTCCAAACAAATTGATCGTTTGGTTAGCAGCAGATATATCTTCCAAACCACATAGCACAACTTGTTTCCTTCTACATATGGTTGTACTCTGGAACATACAAAATAATACTTTAACACGTAGGCATACTTATAATTGCTTTAACCAACCTGTAGTGGAAATTTTACAAATGCAGATTCGAAGAGGCCTTTGCAATATCTGTGAAACCAGAATGTCAAGATAGGTTGTGCAATAAGCACTAGCGTCGACGTCTCTGTACCTCTTGTACTTAACAATCCCATCAGAAGAATTTGAGATATAATCAAGCCCATAACTACTCGGCCATGGACATCTGGCCAAAACGCTCCTCCACTCTCGTATTGCTGGTTATACACATTGATAATCTTTGGACAAGAAAAAAAAAGTGCTGATTAAGCATTACTATGAACATGATCATTTTACGCAAACATTTAATGGAAGAAAATTGGTGTAATGTAGGGTTAGTAGTTGAAGCAGCAATCAAAACAATTTTGTTTAGATATGCATGAACTGCAACAATAAAATATTGCTGCAAACTCTATGCAGACTCACCTGGTGCCGAAAGATCAAGTAGGCAAAACCAAAGAAGATTACAATGAAGGGGAGAAGAAAAGGTGTGACTGGAGCGTACACATGCCCCAGCATGAAATATAACTGGATGCGAGGTTCAGATGTGGCAAAATCCAAGCTTCCAGGATCCATTGCACTCTCTCTGTCTTGCTCCGTCTTCACCAAGAATGCGTTTTTCAGGTGGAAAGTAATTAACGGAACTAACCTGAGAACCTCTGCAGCTATTCCAGCCCAACCATCGACCATTATGTATGTGATAAAAAATGTGGCTTTCATGGGGATTGTACTGCCAACTGTTTTTGTGAACCTGCAAATTAATATACATGTCAGATGCTGCCAATCTCGGTGTCCAAATAAAAGATATCTAAAGAACCTACTCTGTAGAGGTCTGATTAAGAAACTGCTGAAGTTGCTGAAATGCTGTTCCTGTTATTACACTCCCAAGGAATACGTTGATGAGAATAAACAAGTAATATTTGGAAGCTGATCTCCGATCCAAACTTGAAAGGGAAGTAAAACCTTCCACTTTCGACATCGTCATCAGAATTTTCGGAAGCACTGCAAGAAATATCTTTAATGCTATCCCTGGAAGAAATCCTTGAATGAGAGACTTGATAGATGGCCTGCAACGAGCAACTCAGTGCATGAAGCCACACCCATTACTGAAAGGAATGGCGCTTTTGCAGATAATAAAATTTCCATAGTAAGCCACTTCAATATTTTAGTAATTCACTCGAAAAAGCTTTCAACATCGACTTAATTGAAGGCAAAACTCATATGAGGAAACCATACTAAAAAAACCTTTGCGGAACGGCATTTAATACTTATCTCAAAAAAAATGGTAAGCATATATTTAATACCTCTAAATGTATAAAAATAATAATTCTATGTGCTACAGTATAAAAAAACACAATTTAAAAATAAATTAATGTTAGTGTTACTTTTAAAATAGTTATCGAATTTATAATACATTTCCTATAACAGAATGGTGTGTAAAAAAAAAACTTTTTGTGCGCATAGATATGCTTATAAAAATTTTACACTAAATTAGTATTAAATTTACTGACAATAATTGATTAATTTAATATTTGAATCACATAAGAAATAACATTTTATTTAGTGTTTAAAGTAAATACCAAAGTGGCAGGCATTTTATTATTTCAAAATTAAAATGATGATTTTGTAATCTGTAAACTGAACTGATTTTTATTCTTAATTTTAGAAAATAATTTGGTGTGTATTTAGAAAACATCTTTCAACTATTTCTAACTATGATTCTTTGAATCTTTATACATGTACTTAATTTTCAGAATTAGTGTATTTCACATATTATAATTTAATTAATAAAAAAATATCTTTCAACTATTTCTAACTATGATTCTTTGAATCTTTATACATGTACTTAATTTTTAGAATTGCAAACTAGTTTCAATTTAAAAATAGGTAGGCCCCAACTTATATATATAAATTCAAAATATTGTTCACATATTTGAAAATATTTGTTTGTTTTAAGTTTAAATAATAATATACTTTATAAATTTAAAATTATTTATTTATTAAAAAATTAAGTATATAAAATAAACCTTTATCCTTTATAACTATGTAGTCAACTATTAATTTATAATGATTAGTAAAAGAAACGTAATTTTCTCCAATTATATCTTTAAATTTATTGTAGTTGATTACATAGGAAAAGATTTAAGGTGACTTTGTTTGAGTTTTTTTTTTAAAGAAAAATATTTTTTAACAAAAAATATTTATGACATTTTTAAATTTTTTGTTTAATATTTAAAAATACATAAGCCAAGAATAAATTAAAAACAACTTATTTAGAATGGTTTATCAAAATCAAAATAAACTAGGCTTTCAAAAGCAAATAGGGCAACATTTAATAGAAAAATTTATATATATATATATATATATATATATATATATATATATATATATATATATATATGTGTGTGTGTGTGTGTATAACTGTAATAAAACATTTGTATTGCTTTTGTAACAATCCCTTTTCCTTTAATTTTATTTTTCAAAAACACGTTACTTTTAAATTTAACAAACTCGGGAGAAATGATCGAAAATTCCAACCAAAAGTTTAATTACAAGTGAAAATATATTTAAAAGTGTAATGCAATAACAAAAGCCTTAAATGATTACAGAATAATAAAAACATTTAATGTGTTGAGAATTTTAAAAGATGTATATGTTCCCTGGTTACATGGGATGTGAGTAGTTTACACGATCTTATGTTTAAACTTCATTTTTGTGAAAAGAAAAAGAAAAATCAAGTAGGAATTTATTAGCAATTTAGCATAATAAAATTAGTAACTGGTATGAGATTGAGAAGACTTACTCTTGGATTATTGGCTTCAAGAAAGGTAAGACCTTCATAATTGACTCAATGTTGGCCAACGATTGGACAAATGCTATTGGAATCATAAAGCAAAATGTGAGGAAAAATAAAGCGACGGTCATGACCAATCTCCTCATGTTCAGCTCAAAATATGGAATTGCTAGATTTTCCCAAAAGACATCCCGTGGCTCTGGAGCCCAATCTGTGAGCCAAATAGTTGGATCACTGGTTTGCTGAGTTTGAGCGCACACAACAGCTCCCCATCGTGTTTTGAATGAAACAAAAGCTGCAGGCATAATAGCATCCGGATTGTTTATAACGGTTTCTCTTTCTTCCGCTTCCTGTTTGAAATTATATAACACCAAGAAATTAATACCCATGTCAACTGAGTGAGTTAGCAGTAAAAGTTGCATCTAGCCTGGTATCACTTGACATTCACCTTTGACTAATTTAACCGTAAATATTTATAAGAAAAATAAATTAATTTATTAGTAAGTTAGAATTAGCTCATGTGATAAAATTTGTTATTTAATTTCCTTAAATTTTTACTTTTAGCTTATGCATAAACTGATTAATAAAAATATTAATTTCATTGTCCTTTCTAAAAATAT